CCCTAGGTAGTATTTGAAATACTATTTTCTTTTGTGGGCGATCAAAAGTAAACAAAAGCAAGATGATTTTATTTTGGGGGGGGGAATTGGGAATTTACTTTTAATTCCTTGCTTTGTATTGTCTAATTTGTGCATAGAAGCCAAAATCCATACGATAAATGATTTGCTGAGCAAAATACATTTAGTTAGACAATTCAAATAGCTGTTCTTCTGTATGTATAAAATACATAAATTAGGAATAGGATCAAGTTGGTGCCCATTAGAATCCTGTAAAACGTGCTCTCTTTTCATCAGTCAACCAGGCAGGGCTAGACTGTGAAGTCATGTAATTGGGGGGAAAAAGATCATACACAAATGAAATTCCAAACCAGATGACAGACAAGATTGGTAACTTTATATATACACTTGATCAGTTGATTTTATTTTCAGAGGCCTGTCTCATTATTTGAGCTCTGTAGCAGGAAGTGTGTGTGTGTGTGTGTATATATATATATATATATATATATATATATATATATATATATATATATATATATCCCTAAAACATCTTCAGACCGGAAAGCTCATTTTACTAATTGGTGAAATTTTGCTGGCTGGGTCACTCTGTCCCTCATAACTTGAACTTATTTTCTTGATGTGTTTTTGTTTCCTAGGAAAAACAAGAAGCCAAAGTGTCCAGCAGTAAAGAGGAAGAGAAAGCACCGCTGTCAGAAAGAGACAAACGACTGGCAGGTCAAGTATCAACTTATAATGTAAGTGTTCAATTGAAGGAAATAAATGTAAGCATACAAATTTATAAATAAATATATTATTGCATTATTTTAACCCTAAACTATAACTTACCCCAAATCCTCTCCCTCATTGAATTAATATTATTGCCAAGAACAAAGACATTTTCTAAGTTTTTCTATGTCTTCTGGTATTTGTCTTCTTCGTATGGGTCTGGGTTAAATGTTCAGATTTCTCATCCTCATTGCTATATCACACTAAGATGTGCTCAGGTTTAGGCTAGACCAAGGCAATCGATGACACTTATTATTTTACTTCAAGACATCACTTTTAGGGTGGGAGGAATGTACAGGCCTTAAAGGGACACTTGCTGCAGCATTAAGGGACACTACAGTCATCAAAACAGCTTTAGCGTATTAAAGCAGTTTTGGTGTATAGATCATGCACCTGCAGTCTCACTGCTCAAGTCTTTACCATTTAGGAGTTAAACCACTTTGTTTATGCATCATTCGTTACACCTCCTTGCACGTGACTTTTCCTTTATTGCAAATTCTGTTTAAAATGGAATTTATTATCTCCTGCTCTGTTCATAGCTTTCTAGACACTGAAGGAGCCTCCTCTGTATGATTAAAGTTCGATTTACATAGCAGAATATAAAAACCTTTAAAGTAAGTTTTATATCTGATTGAAAATGGAACCATTTTGTTTTCATGCAGGCTGTGTCAGTCACAGCCAGAGGAGGTGTGGCTAGGGCAGCATAAACAGAAACATACCGTATATACTCGAGTATAAGCCGAGTTTTTCAGCACATTTTTTGTGCTGAAAAACCCCAACTCGGCTTATACTCGAGTCAGTCTGTATTATGGCAATTTACATTGCCATAATACAGACTGGGGGCTGGCAGCGAGCGCTTACCTCTCCTGCAGCTCCTGTCAGCTCTCTCCTCCTCCGCGCCGGTCCGGTCAGCACCTTGATCAGCTCCCAGTGTAAGTCTCGCGAGAGCCGCGGGGTCATAGTGCGGCTCTCGCGAGACTTACAGTGTGAGCTGAGAGAGGAGCTGCACGGACCGGCGCGGAGGAGAGAGCTGACAGGAGCTGCAGGAGAGGTAAGTAACAGCTCTGCCAGCCCCCCTCCTCCCCCCACTGAACTGCCAATGCCACTGGACCACCAGGGAAGGAGAGCCCCCCTCCCTGCCATGTATCAAGCAGGGAGGGGGGACAACAAAATAAATAAATATAATATATACATAATAATAATAAAAATAATAATAATATAACAAAAAAAATTAAAATAATATTAACTTTTTTTTTATAAAAATGCCCACCCCCCACCAAGGCTCTGCAACACACACACACACACACACTGCATCACACACACACACACACACTGCATCACACACACACACCCTGCATTCATACACACACCCTGCATTCATACACACACACTGCATTCATACACACACACTGCATTCATACACACACACTGCACTCATACACACACACTGCACTCATACACACACTGCATTCATACACACACACTGCATTCATACACACACTGCATTCATCATATACACACACATTAAATAAATATTCAATTAATATAATTTTTTTAGGATCTAATTTTATTTAGAAATTTACCAGCAGCTGCTGCATTTCCCACCCTAGTCTTATACTCGAGTCAATACGTTTTCCCAGTTTTTTTGGGTAAAATTAGGGGCCTCGGCTTATATTCGGGTCGGCTTATACTCGAGTATATACGGTAGTTACATAGCTGAAAAGAGACTTGCGTCCATCAAGTTCAGCCTTCCTCACATATGTTTTTGCTGTTGATCCAAAAGAAGGCAAAAAAACCCAGTCTGAAGCGCTTCCAATTTTGCAACAAGCTAGGGAAAAATTCCTTCTTGACCCCAAAATGGTTGTCAGATATTTAACTCCTAAATGGCAGAGAATTGAGCAGTAAGTCTTCAGAGGCATGGTCTATGCAAAAGAAAAAACTGCTTCATTACGCTATTTGTTTAGGTGACTATATTGTCCCTTTAATGTAATGGTTCTGTTGTAAATGCTGCCTAGTAACACTTATCAGATGGCCACTATATAGGGGCTTTCTAACCTACGCTCAGCTTCTCCACGCTCTGTATGGAAACCCTGAATGTTCCCCATAGAGATGCTGATTGTCGGAGAGCGCTGTGTTTTGCCACACATGTGCAATTGCTTTCCAAATGCTTTCCTATGGAAAAGCATTGGATTGTCTGAGATCAACAAGATTGATGATCTCAGCCATGGAAGCAGGGCCAGCTGCGGCAAGAACAGTGTGGCTTAGGAGAAAAGATGAGTAAAAACAACTTTTTACTGAGAACGGAGTGGGTGAGGGGGGCATAAACTAAACAGCCACTTCAGGACTATAGTGTCAGGAATACCTTTGTATTCCTGTCACTATTGTGTTCCTTTAAATATTAAATAAAGGGATAAAAGCACAGATCGTGCAGCATTTCTAGTTTAAAAACCACATACAATATAGAGTACTAAAAATGAACACTTGTGGCTAACATTATCAAATGTATTTTTAAAATGTGTATCGATCTGATATGAAAGCTTATTTACTTGTAATTACATTTTAGCACAAGGACTTAAAAATAAAACATTTCTTTTAGGATTCCAAGCGATCTCACTCACTGCTAGACCTTCATCGGAAAAAGTTGAAGAGGAAAGCAGAGGACGATAAAAATAAGCCACAGGAGAGAAGAGCATTTGACAGAGACCAAGACCTTCAAGTCAACCGTTTCGATGATGCCCAGAAGAAAGCTCTGTTGCGGAAATCCAAAGAATTGAATACTAAATTCTCACATGGGAACAGCAGCATGTTCCTTTAAGGGAGGAAAGAAGCTTACATAATGCACATACAAACAATATATCCTTTATCTGCTGAACAGTTTTCCAAATACTTCCTTTTTAAGACATGCAATAAGCAATCATTCACAGAATCCGTTTTAAAAAGAAAGTAAAGTGAACCCAAATGTGTTTTTTGTGTTTGTTTTTATGAGGAAATAGATCTTCAAAAACTGGTTCAATAAGCTTTAATTTTTTTTATGATGGTCAAGAACTCAACCATGGACTTTTCTGGTGAGGGGCATCCTATCAGCTGGAGATTGACATTACATTTAAATAAACACATATGTTTTTAAATGCTTCATTGTATGCAGGTGTATATTTAGTACATTTTTATATCTGCTTTTCTTAATAGTCATCAAATACATGTCCAGTATAACCACTGGTGAGCATGTTGCTTTAGATTTGTTGCACAGACTTTTCAGAGTGAATCCAAATATTGGGAGTATTGGAATTCCATTGTTCCAGCTATTTATGTGTTCTTTATTAGGTATTTTTTTTTTTAAATCAGTGCAGATCATCGCTAAGCACAAAAAAACAAAAAACAAAGCAGAATGTTATGCATGTATAATCATTTTGTATTGTGGTCATAACTCTAGTAATTGATGTGCATTGGGGTAAGTCTGCGTAATTTCCATGGCCGTGGCATCTTGTTTTATTTTTTTTGTATTGTGTTCTGGTTTGTGTATTGCTAATTGTCCTATCATTGCACATGCCATCCACATAGTAGCTGCCAGTGAGTATGTGTAAGTAAATCTATGTAAAGGAGATCAGGTAAATATGAGTTTCTGAAAGTGTGGGCTTTTTTTTTAACAAATGTGATAATGAAATAAATATGTGAGAAGCAAGATTACAGTTTGTCTTTATTTAGTGTTTAATTTTGTTTGGATAAAATAAATAGCATATTGATATTTGGAATTATAATTCTGAGTTTGCACAATCTTTTAAAGGCTATTTATTGATTCATAAAGGTTAATCTACGAGCCATTATAATAAGCTAAAAGAAAAACAGTGAAGTAAATATGGTTCATCGAAAGTGTTTCCTGTAAGTGAAGACCCTATTTTAAGCATCCAGGGCACTGATTTTTCCTTAGATTCATTATAAGCTAATAGCTTCAGGAACGGTTGGTTATCCTTGTTTGATCACTGGTGCATTTTCTCTAAAATGTTTTCAGTACCAGCAGTTAATTGTGTAGTAATTAAATCATTCTTTGGTACATTAATAATGAATCGTCATAGGGTATTATGTGAAAAATCATTAATGTAATGCAAACACAGTAGGCAGAAAATGGAAATAGAGTTCTTTGCAAAATAGCTGCATAATATAACTGTGAAGGAAAATAGCCCCACAGTGAATTTGATTCATAACACATTACATGAATATGGCTAAACCATTGGTCTGTGCTTTTTAACTTAAGAAAATGTGCATTTTTTTTATTTGTCCAACTTAAAAATACTGGAAATCCTCCTTAAAGTTTTGAAAAGACTTAAAAGATGAAAACTTAGTTCACAGTTGACCGTTCTGGTTTTATACAATCCGTATATGCTGTTTGGGTGTATCACACATTTACCCAGAGGTGAACCTAGGGTATTTGGGCTTTGGGTAGTTTACCACATTTTCACACAATTATTGTTGAGGTTGCAGAGCAAGGTGGCATAGGATCAAGCCCCTCCATGTTTCCGTGTTCAAAATATTTGTACGTGGTATAGCAGAATTGCTGCAGCCGCTCTGACTGTCTAAATACCCATAAACATTTTATTACATGACCAACTAAACAAATACTGCTTTATTTGTGTGCATGTTTGTGTGTGAATGTAGTTAGAATGTGTAGTGTGTGTGAACAGAGAAATATAGTTGCTTTTTGTAAGTATTTTTGTGGTTCTGAATATAATTTTACCTTACTGGTCTTAACATACCCTCACTCCTGCAACTGTCACATCCTTCCACTTTTTGTATATTTTCCCAACTTGTGCCTTCCATTCCATCTCTCTGTCCACTTCTGTTTCTTCCCCACTTATTTCTCTGACCATTTGCACATCCCCACAACCTCACCCCTCTCCCAATCGCCAAGCATTGGAAGGCTGCCATATACAACATCCCTTACCATTTCACTGCTCTTACCTTGGCTAATGAAACAAGGTACAAATGTTGTCCACGTTCTATAATGACTCACTGTGAAATGTCATGTTACCATCTGTGTGTTCAGTCAGGGATATCCGTAGATAAGGACTAGATGCCAGTCTGTACCTTTGAAGCTCTTCGAACTTCTGACTATTGGTTGGACATTAGCTAGTTGTTATTATTATTATTATTATTATTATTAATATAGATCATTTATATACCAGCAATATATTGCAAAGGGCTTTACAATGTTTCATTTAATATATAAAACCGGAAATAATCAACAAATTAAAGTGCTCAGAAATATGAGGTGGACAGAACATTGGTCAAATGAACGTACAATCGAAGAGAAAGTGAAGTAAAGAAAAAAAGTTAAAAAGGAAGAGAGACATATGAGGGGAGGGTAGATTGCCAGGTTTGATGCCTGTATTAAATTAAAGGGGAACTATTACCATAATTTTAAATATTTTATGTTAACATATCTCAATATTTTACAAATATGTGTTTGTGAGATATTATCAGGCAACTGCATTTAGCTCTATGGCAATCATTGTTATAAGCTAATTTTTTTTTTTTGCATCTGGCAGTCAGCATAGAGAAAGAATAAAGAGAAAAGGAGAAACTACACAATGTGTCTATTTCTCTTACTTTGCAATGTGTGCACTGGCTTTGTATTGTTTGAACCGGATTATGATCACATTTGCAAAATCTTAAAGGGACACTAATCACCAGAACAACTACAGCTCGTTGTAGTTGTTCTGGTGAGTATAATCAATCCTTGCAGGCTTTTTGTACTAAACCCTGTTTTGTTTTTTCCCAGAGAAAAGGCAGTTTTTACATTACAGCCTAGGGACACCTCTGGTGGCCACTCCTCAGTTGGCTACTGGAGTTGCTTCCTGGGGCAGTGCTGCACAGTCACTGACCTTCAGCATCTACATTGATTCAATGCATCTTTATATGGAGGTGCTGATTGGCCAGGCTGGCATTTTTCCCGGCCTCCACCCTGCCACCTTGACTATCTCAGCCAAGGTCATCTGAGACCATTTATTCTGATTGTCAGCCAAGAGGCGGATGGGGGGTGGGAGAGGAGCAGTGCCTGCAGACCCATGGACAGGTGGAAATAAGGTGAGTTTTAACCCTTTCTAAGGGGGCAAGCATAGCCTATACAGCATAGCCAGATTTCGTTAATATACACTTTCATAGTTACCCATAATACCTCAACTTGTCTATCATATATGTCAGCATGGGAGAGGGACATATGGACACCAACAGAGATCTCTGGTCAGAAATTTGTGAAGCTAAATATACACTAAATATATGTAGAAATCATAAAGAGCAAGATTATAGAACCCTCTTAAAATGTGATTTAACTTTATTGAGACTCTTCAAAATGCACAAACTCCTTTTTGACACCTGCAGGAAAAGTTGCGGAATTCAGGTTACTTACATCCACTTATGGTGGCATTGCCCTCGCATAACTCTGTTCTGGCACCAAGTAGGAAATCTAGTTTCATATCTACACTAAACCAATATCCACATAGATCTATGGACTTGGGTATTATCTAAACCTATAGATACTATCACAAGAGCTCAAAATAAGATGTTAGCCAAGATTGCCCTATCTACAAGAATGGCTTTAGCTGTGACTGAAGCAGGTAGCTGTCCTCATTTGCAAGACCAAGGAGGTAGTGGAAATGGGTAGATTAACAACTTTAATTCATGATACCTCTAAACAGTTTCACACAATTTGCAACATATGTTTTACAGACTCTCAAGTACTACCTTTAGGAAAACAGCACTGTTCTAATCTTTTTCTTTTTCATGGCCTTTTGCTCTTGTCTTCTCTCATTAGTGAACTGTTCTCTTCTCTTTTCTCCCATTACTCATCTATTTTTTTTCTTGATATTCCTCATAATTTGGGTTTCAGTAATCTGGATCCTCTATCCATATTAGTCGAGTTCTAATGTATCTAATTATTTTGTCTTTATTATTTTTTGTTACTCACGCTAACTCTGATGTTAGGGGTCAGTGGTCGGGCTCTAGAGGTAGGAAGGGGTTAAATAACTTTCCTTTCTCCACCGCCGGGCTCCCTCGGCGGTGGGGACTCTCCGCCTCCTTTCCCCTTAATCGGCTGAATGCGCATGCGCAGCAAGAGCCGCGCGCATTCAGCCAGTCCATAGGAAAGTATTCTCAATGCTTTCCTATGGACGCTGGCGTCTTCTCACTGTGAAAATCACAGTGAGAAGCGCGGAAGCGCCTTTAGCGGCTCTCAATGAGACCGCCACTAGAGGCTGGATTAACCCATAGGTAAACATAGCAGTTTCTCTGAGACTGCTATGTTTACAGCAGAAAGGGTTAATCCTAGATGGACCAGGCACCCAGACCACTTCATTAAGCTGAAGTGGTCTGGGTGCCTATAGTGGTCCTTTAAACTACACCAGCCACCTCTGAAAACATTTGTGATAACAGAGAAAAGAGGTCATTAGCAGAGTAGGGTATTTTGAAGGCTTTGTGGTTTGTGGGCTAATCAGTAATTTAAGGAGTGAGATGATAAATTCAGTATAAAAGCCCCTTTATGTCTCATCTTTTTTCTTAGGATGTTAAGTAAATATGTTATCACAATGTTATTTATCCCTTTATGAATGTCCTTTTTTTTTTTTTTTTTTTTTACTGAAAAAATAATTTTCACGATTCTGTATATTTGAAGAATTTGCTCCTAATCTCCGCTCGTTACATGTATAAAAGACATCTGTCCACAGAAGCAATCAATCAGATTTCAAACTCTCCAGCATGGCCAAGATCAAAGAGCTGTCCAAGGATGTCACGGACAAGATTGTAGACCTACACAAGGCTGGAATGGGCTACAAGACCATCGCCAAGCAGCTTGGTGAGAAGGTGACAACAGTTGGTGCGATTATTCGCAAGTGGAAGAAACACAAAATAGCTGTCAGTCTCCCTCGGTGTGGTGCTCCATGCAAGATCTCACCTCATGGAGTTTCAATGATCATGAGAATGGTGAGGAATCAGCCCAGAACAACACAAAATGATCTTGTTAATGATTTCAAGGCAGCTGGGACCATAATCACCAAGAAAACAATTGGTAACACACTACGCCGTGAAGGACTGAAATTCTGCAGCGCCCGCAAGGTCCCCCTGCTCAAGAAAGCACGTGTACAGGCCTGTCTGAAGTTTGTCAATGAACAGCTGAATAATTCAGAGGAGAACTGGTTAAGTGTTGTGGTCAGATGAGACCATAATCCAATTCTTTGGCATCAACTCAACTCGCCGTGTTTGGAGGAGGAGGACTGCTGCCTATGACCCCAAGAACAATCCCTAGCGTCAAAAATGTAGGTGGAAACATTATGCTTTGGGGGTGTTTTTCTGCTAAGGGGACAGGACAACTGCACTGCATCAAAGGGACGATGGATGGGGCCATGTACCATCAAATCTTGGATGAGAACCTCCTTCCCTCAGCCAGGGCATTGAAAATGGGTCGTGGATGGGTATTTCAGCATGACAATGACCCAAAACACACAGCCAAGGCAACAAAGGAGTGGCTCTAGAAGAAGCACATTAAGTTGCTGGAGTGGCCTAGCCAGTCTCCAGACCTTAATCCCATACAAAATCTGTAGAGGGAGCTGAAGGTTCGAATTGCCAAACGTCAGCCTCAAAACCTTAATGTCTTGTAGAGGGTCTGCAAAGAGGAGTGGGACAAAATCCCTCCTGAGATGTGTGCAAACCTGGTGGACAACTACAAGAAACATCTGACCTCTGTGAAAGCCAACAAGGGTTTTGCCACCAAGTACTAAGGGGTGAAATACTTATTTCACTCATTGACATGCAAATCAATTTATAACTTTTTTGACATGCGTTTTTCTGGATTTTGTTTTTGTTGTTATTCTATCTCTCACTGTTAAATATACCTACCATTAAAATTATAGGCTGATTATATCTTTGTAAGTGGGTAAATGTTCAAAATCAGCAGGGGATCAAATACTTTTTTCCCTCACCATATTCCAAGAAAAATAAACATCTATCTTGGCATTGCTACTAGAAAGAGAAGAACACCGTGTAGAAAATGCTACATTTACGCAACATAACCGTTTACACAGATACATATACTGATCAGCCACAACATTAAAACCACTGACAGGTGAAGTGAATAGCATTGATTATATTGTTACAATGGCACCTGTCAATGGTTGGGATATATTAGACAGCAAGTAAACAACCAGTTCCTGAAATTCATGTGTTGTAAGCAGGAAAAATGGGCCAACAAAAAGATCACGTGGGTCAGAGCATCTCCAAAACGGCAAGTCTTGTGGGGTGTTCCCAATATGCAGTGCTTAGTACCTACAAAAGAAGTGCAACATAGGACAATCGGTGAACTGCTGTGAGGGTCATGGTCGCCCAAGGCTCAATGATGTAGGTGGGGAGCAAAGGCAAGCCTGGCTGGTCCAAAGAAGGCGGGCTGGCAGAGGCATTGTTATGCTCTAGGCAATGTTCTGCCAGGAAACCTTGGGTCCTGGCATTCATATGGATATTATTTTAACATGTAATACCTACCTAGAGATTGTTGCAGACCACGTACACCCCTTCATGGCAATGTGTTCTCTGATAGCAGTGGTCTCTTTCAGCAGGATAATGCACCTTGCCACACTGTAAAAAGTGTTCAGGAATGATTTGAGGAACATGACAGAGAGTTCAAGATGTTACCTTGGACTGAAATTCTCTAGATCTCAATCTGATTGAGCATCTGTGGGATGTGCTGATACAAACTCAATCCATGGAGGCCCCACCTTGCAACTTGCGGGACTTTGCTGCTAATGTCTTGGTGCCAGATACCACAAGACACATTCAGAGATCTTGTAGAGTCCATTCCTTGACACGTCAGCTGTTTTGACTACACGAGGGAGACCTACACAATATTAGGCAGGTGTTTTAATATTGTGACTATCAGTGTATGAATTTCAAGTATATTAGCACTCACTGACTTTTCAATGGATTTCTCCCTTTATTCCATCACAGAGTTAAAAAGCAGCGTTAACGTTTCAGTTTCTGATCGGAACTTTCTTCAGGACAAAATTAAACCAGTGCAAAATATACTTAAATATATTTTTTATCATTTATATTTTTTATTGTAGCATAAAGATGAACAATGATATAGGTAAAATCATGGGTCCTTACATTATAAGTGAACACATAAAAAAAACTATAAAAATTGTCTGTGTATATACAATGAGCAAGAAATGGCATAATCATAATCTGTCTAACTGACCATTATCAAAGGTGTAATGAACAATTGTGCCAAATCTGCTACCTATGGGAGGGTATGAGCCTCATGTGAGAATAAACATGGGGCAGAATTCCAGCTATTATAAAAGAATATATAGAGGCTAGATAAACTAAAATCATCTAGAATAAAGCAATGAGCAAGCTGAAAGAGAAAAGCTATGGCATCTAGAAAATTATTTGGAGGCTGCACGTATTTGCATCCAGCAAGACTTAGGGGCCTGTGGAAGGCAGTGTATATCCCACTTGGAAGCAGAGGTTCTGGGTGAGGCATTAGGCACAGGCCTCAGGGCATCTTTTGCCAAAGGCAAGGCCATTATCTAGTATGAGGAACCACTCCACATCTTACAGATGGGTGCCATGGATATGCTTCTCCTCATGGAACACCGATAGTGAAAGGCCATCGATATTTGACCACCTTGTCTCTCAATATCTTTGTCACAGGTTGCAACGATTGTCGCCCAAGCATGGTGGACCTACAGAGGTCACTGAAAAAAGGAAAAGTCAGAGCCTTAAAAATGGTAGATAGACGAATTCCTGAATAGTGGCCTGTACCAGTTGTTTGTACTGAAGCATCTGGAAATATTAACAAGTCCCGTGGGACCCCATACTGGGCTTTGTTACTTAGGGACCCAAAAATCATAGTCCAGTTGTATGACTTTGGCTTTAGAGGGTGATAGTATAGAGCTCAGCATTCTGCGAATATAAAGAGGAACCTCAGTGTCTGTGAACTCTTCAGAGATGCCCGAATCCTCAAGTTCCACTGTCATTTGGAATCCTCCATGGTGAGGTTGGTCCGCTTCAGCTTGTCAATCCCTGCTCTCAAATCATCTTGATTGCCTGTGGTGATGTCACTATCATACTCCAATACCTGCAACCTGACTGTTATAGCCCCCATGTCTTCCCAGACTAGGGTTATGTCAGTCACAAATAAGGCCTTCAGCTCCGTCAGCAGATTTTGGGTCTCTGCCTTGCTGGCAGGTATAAGTTCCAGGTGGGAGATAGGACTAGCCTGCTGGTGCAACTGTAAGCGCTCCCATCTAGTATGGCACACCCCGACTTCACCTCCTCTGATGAGAAACAGAAGGTCATCAGATACGCTCCCCTCCGATGCTGTGTCTGAGTCTTCCCTGATGCCATCTTAGTAGGCCACTGCTGCGGAGTCACACAGAGCAAAGTGCCAATATCCTTTGAGGAAGAGTCTGGCTTTCTTTCCCATGTTGTCCAAATGACTTTAGGGAGAATATAGGTCGATTTAGCCACAATTGTACTGGTATATGCTAAAATTCTCTCAAGCTCTCCAAACGTGTGTCTGCTTATTTATAACAATAAGCTTACCCAATCCGGTTATTGGTCCTCAGGAATCGGCGTGGGGTTGTAGTTAATGGAATATATTCGAAGCTTGGACTTGTCACCAGTGGGGTACCTCAGGGATCTGTACTTGGACCCATTCTCTTTAATATTTTTATTAGTGATATTGCAGAAGGTCTTGATGGTAAGGTATGTCTTTTTGCTGATGATACTAAGATATGTAACAGGGTTGATGTTCCAGGAGGGATAAGCCAAATGACAAATGATTTAGGTAAACTAGAAAAATGGTCAGAATTGTGGCAACTGACATTTAATGTGGATAAGTGCAAGATAATGCATCTTGGAAGTAAAAACCCAAGGGCAGAGTACAGAATATTTGATAGAGTCCTAACCTCAACAATTGAGGAAAGGGATTTAGGGGTGATTATTTCTGATGACTTAAAGGTAGGCAGACAATGTAATAGAGCAGCAGGAAATACTAGCAGAATGCTTGGTTGTATAGGGAGAGGTATTGGCAGTAGAAAGAGGGAAGTGCTCATGCCATTGTACAGAACACTGGTGAGACCTCACTTGGAGTATTGTACACAGTACTGGAGACCGTATCTTCAGAAGGATATTGATACCTTAGAGAGGGTTCAGAGAAGGGCTACTAAACTGGTTCATGGATTGCGGGATAAAACTTACCAGGAAAGGTTAAAGGATCTTAACATGTATAGCTTGGAGGAAAGACGAGACAGGGGGGATATGATAGAAACATTTAAATATATAAAGGGAATCAACACAGTAAAGGAGGAGACTATATTTAAAAGAAGAAAAACTACCACAACAAGAGGACATAGTCTTAAATTAGAGGGACAAAGGTTTAAAAATAATATCAGGAAGTATTACTTTACTGAGAGGGTAGTGGATGGAATAGCCTTCCAGCTGAAGTGGTAGAGGTTAACACAGTAAAGGAGTTTAAGCATGCGTGGGATAGGCATAAGGCTATCCTAACTATAAGATAAGGCTAGGGACTAATTAAAGTATTTAGAAAATTGGGCAGACTAGATGGGCCGAATGGTTCTTATCTGCCATCACGTTTCTATGTTTCTATGTTTCTTTAGAATCATGCACTACATTGTGTAACTGCTGCTTTACAGTGTATATAATCTATTCTTAACTGTGACTAATATTTCAAGTTATTCTACTGTGTAAGTATATTACCCATGCCGATTATTGTGGTATGAAAGTTTTAGTAGTATAAGAAGCTATAGCTATTATAAATATGAATACTGTGTATCCTATGTTTTCGTTAAAAAAAGTATTATGTGACTAAATACATATTAAAGTGTCATTTACATGCCATGTCACAATCATAATGTGTGTCTTCAAAGTGACAATGCCCAATCATGAGGGATATCCTACAGTATAATTATTAAAAGATATATGCTTTTTCACATTAGTACAAATACATATAGCCAAAATAGATATATATTTTTTTTTTTAAAAACTAGAAAAATGTATCAATCGAGTTGGTTCTGCTAACACTTAATAAAAATGAACTATCTGACAATTTCTCGTTATGTCGTTTTTGTGCTATTGTGTCAAGGTCATTTATCCAAATGTTTTGGGTTTTATGATCTATTTTATACCTATAAATTTAAAAAATGTCAGTGGATGTTTTCTCTCCAGAAATTGTTTTGCTACTGGTTTATCCAAATATCAATCTCTATATTGTGTGCACATACTTGATCTCTGGCCTCGTATTCTTTCAGACAGTGCTGTTTCAGTTTTCCCTATGTATATCAACCCACATGGACACAATATTTTCTACACTACGTGTTCTGTTTTGCAAGTAATATGGTGTCTTACATATATTATTTCTTTCCCGTATGGGGGTGACTGAAGCTCTTTCCAAGGATGTGGCCATTGGAGACACACCGCAAGTATCAAACATTGCCCACATTCTGAGGAGTTTTGGAAGCTGGCATAAAACTTTGTCCCGGGTCGGTGTTTACTAATAGTCCTGCAGACTTCTGTTCCACCTACAGCATGTCATAGACATCTCCTTAAACATATCTGGTAATATAGTGTCTCCTAAATTTAATTTAGTGTTGACTTAATATTCCAATTCATTCTCAATGATGTTGTTAGTTTTAGTATTGCTGAATAATAGGACATTGGGAACATTATTCTTTGTAATCTCTGCTTCTCCATCCACGGTTGATAATTCCTAGATGTTTGCATGGCTTTCTGTAGATCATTGCGTTTGTATCCTCATTTCAAATATCTGTGATACATGTTCTGCAAGGGCTTTTCCATTTTAGTCTAATGATCCTAGACACTCTTAGAAATTGTGCATGAGATAAAGAATTTTTTTTTTTATATGTTGGGAATGTGTGCCCTAGTGACATACAAAATTTGCATTCCAATGTGTCGGCATAGAACATAAGTTATATTCCATTTCCAAATATTTGATATAAATTTGCAAATTAAAAAATTGCTCACGTTCCTCACTCACCTTTGTAGTCATCTTTACCAGTGCTGTGAATTGGCTATTATAGTTGACCATGGATTAAGCCCCCTTCTTATTCTCCCTTTCCTTAAAATAAGGATATCATCTAGCTAAATTAATTAAATTGCAATTTGAGTATTAGTAACTCCAAAATGAATTCAATGGGAAGTCCTTTTTTTTTTTTTTTTTCTTCATTTTGACAATTTTTATCAAAATAGATTTTGGTACAGAACAGAAAAGGGGGTCATAGGGAAAAACTAATTAGTATATCAATTTCATACATTCAAGCAATGATATATCAGTTGTCAAGACCACACCAATACTAATAGGATGTGTTTATAAAGTACAGAGATTGGAGGTACAATTGGTTTCAATAGGTAAAAGCATACGTTTAACAATGGCAAGTATCAAGAGTCAAAGATCAAGAACCAAGAGTTAGCTATTTTCTATGAATGTGATTTCTTGCTCAGGGTTGCAGACCCTATGTTCTATAAACTGCCGTGTGTGTCAGCAGCTATGTATCTTGGCTCAGAGTGGCTGTTGCGGTTTCAACTGGTATATTGTATACAACCTCATGGGTTTGATCCTTACATTAGGTATGAATGTGAATACAATGGGTATTACGCTTCATGTTCGTGTGTGGTAATGGAATATTGCTCCCGGGCGATGTTTGTTGGATATGCTTCATGATTGGTGTAGTTTAGCATGAGGGTGCAGGTGGATGGGATGAATTATGTAGGAGGAAGCGGGTGTAGAGAGGAGGGAGGTAGAAGGGGACTCAAAGTATGCTTCCTGCATCATTTCGGTGTTGTTTTGGGTGTCAGGGGTTATTTTGAGTGTCACGCAGAAGTATCCTCCTTAGCTTATTTTGGTATAGCTTAAAGGTATAGTGAAAAGGTATAGTGAATTGGTGTCTAAAAGTCCCTTCAGGTTGGGTATTTTTTGTCCCAGGTTACCCATACTTCATGCCTCCAGCTCTGTCTTAATGGTATCTGTGAAATATTGCCAGTAGGGTTATCAGGACCTCACTTCCACACTTACCTGCATTGCGCTCCAATGCTGCAACCCCCAAGACAGCGCGGTTGGCTCAACCACCCACACCGACCACTCATGTTCATTCCAACGCCACCTCTGTTCATGCAAACACTATTAACCTATACCGCAGACAGAACTCCATTCGTACAGATGCATGCTCCTGAACACAGCAAGAACTGAAGTCTGTTCGTGAGAACGCCGCTGCTTCCACGTGCGACCACACAGAAGGTAAAACTTCAGGAGAATCAAAGGGCGTGCGCACGCTGACAAAGCCTTTTAAAGGTACAGGAGGTGGAGACCAGGGTGGAACCTCAATTAAAAAGACCACCCACTTTCCCTATTTAAGTCGCACACACCCTTCACTCTTTACTACACTGTACTGTGCTCCTGTTAGGGCAGCAACACACCACTCGCTCAATGACATTTCCTCCAAGAGAAATACAAAAAGAGAGAAAAACAACCAATGGGTGGTACTGTGCAGACAGAGATAAAACACCTAACGGTAAGTATTATGCTCACCTTTCGAAGAACCTTAGATTTCTGGCTCTAAGGGTAATTAGCGGGGTGCCACTTTTCTGGGGATGGCACTTCCCTAATGAAGATTCTATGAGGCATCAAGGACTTGATTGGAATAGCATATAAAATTTATTGATTACAAATAAAAACACATATAGTATATATTATAAAATAAAAAAGTCCCTATTAAGTCCAAATCTGCCTAAACTAATTTCACTCATCCATAAGCTTCCTCAGTCAGCTATATTGTAGCCTCAAGAATCCTCCATCTTTTAAATGTCCTGTGGGTCCTTTGTCAAATGTTGTTGGATTGGCCAATCCTAAATTCAAATTGTATATCATCCCTTTAAACAATTAACTCCACATGTGTGTTGGGAATCTCAATTGGGTAATTTTATTTGTCGCTTTTTATTTAAATTTTTTATTGGTGGTTAGGTGGTGTCCGTCTGGACGCGTCATATCTGGTCCATGGTTGGAGGAAGTGACGTAGCGGACTCTGTCGCTCGTCGGTCTGGAGGGTTGCCGTAATGACGGGGGGGAGTAATAAGGACACGGGGAGGAGTTTTAGATAATTTGCACATGTTTGTGAGAACTGAAAAATGTTAATGTGAGTGTGTGTGTGTGTGTGTGTGTGTGTTTGTTAATGTGTGTGTCTGTTAGTGTGTGTGTGTGTTTTAAGTATGTGTGATTTAGTTATTGTGCACTTTTTTAATGTATATATGACTTTATGGTACAGTGGTGTTTTTTGCAAATGTTCAATTGTTAAAAATGTTCATATATGCAACAGCAGTATTTGCACTGTAAACATTTTTTATTTATGCACAGTATATGCAACAGCAGTATTTGCACTGTAAACCTTTTTTATTTATATAAAGTGTGGGTGAACTTAAACTGTATGGCTATGCTGTGGTTCCTGTAGGCTTTGCGTGCCTGCGTGTGTGTGTGGGGAGGGGGGGGGGCGGTTGGGAGGGCCTCCATGTCCATTTTGCTTGGGGCCCCCAAATTCCTTCAAATGGCCCTGGGAGAGGGGAAAAAGGAAAGGGGGGGGGGGGGTGAAGGAAACAAAAGTGATATTCAATCCATATAATGTGCAAATAAAGTCAATATTAAATCCGTATAAAGTTATATTCAATCCATATAAAGTTTATTTGCACTTTATATGGATTGAATATAACTTTTGTTTTCTCCCCTCCCCCCTCCTTCCCCTTTTTCCCCTCCCCTATCCCATCTCCCTCTTTTAAAAAGGGTTAAAAATCCTTGCCGGGAAATTATACACCTGTGAGCTTAACTTCTGTGGCTGGAAAAGTATTTGAAAAGTTATTAAGGGATAATATTCAAAAGTTCCATTTCGGACAGACAGACTGGACCTATATACGCCAATGGTGCAACACCGGCACCCTAAAAACCTTGCCCGAACTAATTACAGATAACACCCCAAAAATGCTTGACAGGTTCCGACACTTCCAAGTCAAATCCTTCTACAACACCACTGCTTCCAAACAACAATTTCATCGAGACCTCACACACTTCAAAACAATTTGGTGACATATGGAGAGAGGGATCTCAACATTATACGCAATGCTTCTGGAGGGAGAAAACAGACCACCACCAAAATACATCGCCAGATGGGAAAGAGAGACAGGAGAGGTCCTCTATGCCCATGAGTGGGATAAGATATTCCTGCTCACGCACAAAAGTTCTATCAGCTCAAAATTCCAGGAATTGAGCTACAAGCTCCTAATGGCCTGGTACAGAACCCCAGATGTACTACACCGGATGAACCCAGATAACGAAGAGATATGCTGGTGATGCGGAGCGGAGAGAGGCACTATGATCCACATCTGGTGGACCTGTCCTGCCATCACTCCCTATTGGGAGATGGTGAACACCAAAATATGGGAAATATCAGACCCGGAGCTCCCACTCCAGCCCCTCCCCATGCTACTACACCACACCAGCATGCCATTGAAGACCTATAAGAATTCTCTAACGAAACATCTACTGACAGCAGCTAAATCACTGATACCCACCCTATGAAAAGGGTGACCGCCCCCACCTTCCAACAATGGGTGGATAGAGTGGGAGAAATACACGCCATTGAATCCATGACAGCAGCCCTTCAGGGCCGCACTGAGAAATGTCACCTGACATGGACACCCTGGCTGATGCAGAAGACACAGCTTCATGAAAAACTACACCTCGACCATGGACCTTTCTTCCCCCCCCATCTTCCTTGCGTTCTTTCTCGGCTACACTACAACCTCTCCCTCCTACCCCCTACTGCCCCTCCACCCCTTCTTCCCAAACCCCCGCCAGACTAGACCACCTCACACCACGTACTGGACCAGAACACACAATTCGAGAGTAAATATAAGTGGATGCCATACCAAACGCAGACCTAGAGAAGGCCAGTAAATTGTGCCTCCAAAAAGACGGCGCAAAGAGACAGATACACACACAGGATACCCCAGAAGCATACAGGCACACGACCCAATACAAAGCTGACACTACAATGGGCCCCACCACCTAAAGACTCACCCACAAACACAACCCGTTGACAACCTGACTCTGGTGGGGTCTCGCACCCTTTCTGCCCATGCCCCATATTCAGGCTCCACGGAGCCACAAATAATTAGGGGAGTGGTATTACGAGAGTCGTAAATGAAATACATCTATGCAACCTGGAGTAAAATGCAATAAAAGCCACGCATACCTCCCAGTTCCCGACTATCACATACAACTTAAACACAAGAATATGCTATGCTATGTGATTGCGAAGGTGCGCTTCTGCTTTTGTATACCCTAAACAACTATTAGACTTTACTCCCCCTATTCTCTTCTGTAACCCCTACCTTTACTTGGAAAAAAATGGGGGGGGAAATGGATAAATAAAGATTGTCAAAAAAAAAAATATTCAAGAGTTCCTTGAGAAGAACGTGGTTATCAGGGCGCACCGGCTCTGGGGGTGCAAGATTTCACAGACCGGCAGAAGGGAAGCGCTCCCTCTTGCCAGGCCACCTTCTGGACCCCCTGGCGCGGCTGTGGTATAATCAGAGGCGGCGAGGGATCTTTGATCTCCCAGCTCTGCTCCCTCACGCGCCGTTTGCTGATGTGTGAGTGTGAGTGATTGTGTGTGTGTCTGGAAGTGTATGTGTGTTTGTGAGTGAGTGTGTGTCTGTGAGTGTGTGAGAGTGGATTTGTGTCTGTATGTGTGTGTGTGTGTGTGTGTGAGTGTATGTGTGTCTGTGAGTGAGTGAGTAAGTGAGTGTATGAGTGTGTCTGTCAGTGTATGAGTGTGTTTGTCAGTGTATGAGTGTGTGTCTGTCAGTGTGTGTTTGTTAGTGTCTATCAAATCAGTGAGAGTATGTTTGTCATTGAGTCTGTGTGTGACTATCAATGTGTCTGTCAATGAGTGTCAATCAGTGTGTGTCTGTTAGTGTGTATGTGTTTGTGTACATCTGTCAATGAATGAGTGTGTGTCAGATTAGTGAGTCTGTGTCTGTTAGTGACGTCTATGTGTTTGTCATGGAGTGTGTGTGACTGTCAGTGTGTATGCACCACTGAGTGTAGCGTGGCGGAACGGAGCGCGGTACAGGAGCTTCTGTTTCCTGTACTCGGCCAGACTGACAGGAGGTGCTCACTGAGAGAGCACTTCCTGTCAGTCCGGCCAGGTACAGAAAACTGAAGTTCCTGTAGGGTATATGCTCCGCTCGACAAGGCTACAAGAGAGGTAGGAGGCACACCAGGAAGGGGAGTGTGACCACTAAGGGTATGGGGGTGCACCAAAGGACAGGGAGGGGAGGGGAAAGAAACATCAAGGGACAAGGAAAAGAGGGGGAGGAAAGAGGAACACTAAGGGACGGTGAGGGGAGAGGGGCTGGTTAAGAGGCACATAGGTGAAGATGTTTTGGGGGGGGCGGAAAAATGCATGCACCAGCCCTGCTTGATAGAATTCTATGAAGAAGTAAGTAGAAGTATAGATCAGGGTGTTGTAGTGGATGTGATCTATTTGGATTTTGCCAAGGCATTTGATACAGTTCCACACAATAGATTAGTGTTCAAACTCAAAAAAATCGGTCTAGATGAAAATTCTTGTTCTTGGGTATTGTTTGTTCTTGGTAGAACATTGGCTTAAAAATAGAGTACAAAGAGTTGTCATTAATGGTACATTTTCAAGCTGGACAGAGGTGGCAAATGATGTTCCTCATGGTTCTGTTTTGGGACCTCTCTAACATTTTAACATGTTTATAAATAATCTGAAAAAAGCATTGTAAGTCATGTTTCAGATGACACAAAACTCTGTAAAGTAGTACAATGTGAGCAAGATATTAATTTTCTGCAGAGGGATTTAGATAGACTGGGCACTCAAATTGCAGATAAAATGTAATCTTGAAAAATGCAAAGTTATGCACTTCGGTGTAAAGAATGTACAAGCAACTTATACCCTTAATGGAAGCGAATTATGGAGAACAAAAAAGGAATGGAACATTTCAGCTATGAAGAAAGGTTAACAAATTTAAACCTCTTTAGTTTAGAAAAATGTCACCTCAGAGGGGATATGATAACATTATACAAATATTTTCGGGGCCAATACAAACCATTGTGTGGAAATCTATTCACAAACCAGACTTTACATAGGACACGAGGTCATGCTTTTAGACTGGAAGAAAGAAGATTTCATCTAAGGCAAAGAAATGATTTTTTTACTGTTAGAACTATAAGGATGTGGAATTCTCTGCCTGAAGAAGTGGTTTTATCAGAGTCCATACAGATGTTCAAACAGCAACTAGATGCATATTTGCAAAAACAGAATATTCAAGGATATAATTTTTCAATGTAGGGTAATAACTTCTTGATCGAAGGATTAATTGGACTGCCATTCTGGGGTCAAGAAGGATTTTTTTTTCCTAGTTTGTTCAATTGGAAGTTCTTCAAACTGTTTTTTTTTTTTTTGCCTTCTTTTGGATCAACAGCAAAAAACATATGTAAGGGAAGGCTGAACTTGTCTCTTTTCAGCTATGTAACTATGTAACTTCCATTTAATTGCAGATGATGAACCAATTACAAATCCCAGTATAGGAGAACTTATCTTGCTGGATAATGAGCTTGCAGGTCCTTCCTGGATAATGTGGATTTTGGCTCCTTGAAGTATGAGGAGAGTGCAGGAATCCGAGGTGAAGTCTTTACAGGGAGTGAAGAGAAGAGAGTTGTGAGGATCAAAGCCATAGGTTCAGTACACAGGAATACAGTATCAGTGCTCATCTGTTAGTGAGTGTGTATGTGTCTTGTCAGTGAGTGTGTATGTGTATCTGTCATCCCACAGCCAGTAAGGTGGGTTGTGACAGGGTAGGGGGGGACTGTGACAGGTTGGTGAGGCTGTGACAGGGTGCGGGGTTCTGTAAAAGGGTGGGGGAGCTGTGACAATATATGTGGGTGACTGTGACATGGTGGGTGTGGGGGCTGTGACATGGTATGGGGACTTGAAGGGCTGTGACAGGGTGGGGGTTGAGTGGCTGTGACTGTGTAGGGGGGTGGAGGGGCAGTGACAGGAGGTAGGGGGGTGAAGGGGCAGTGAGAGGGGGTGGGGGTGGAGAGGCTGTGACTGGATGGAGGCAGTGGTGGATTCAGAAGCTAATCTCGGGAGGGGCACTGGCAGATTATTTTAAGAAACAATCCAGGCACAATAACCACTACAGCTCTCTGTAGTGGTTTTGGTGCCAGGAGTTGCTGTGGCGCCCTCCCAGAGTAAGTAGTCAAACCATTTAAAAAAACATCTGATAACTTACCCAGGTCTGCCGGGATAGGAGTTGTAGTGTGTATGTGTGTGAGGGTCGCAGTATGTGTATGGAGGGGTAGTGCGTGTGTGAGAGGGGTGCAGTGTATGCATGGGGTAGCAATTTGTATATTAGGAAGTGTGTTTGTGTGTAAAGGGTGCTGTGTGTGTATTTAGGGCTATGTGTAAGGGGGGCTGTGTATGTAAGGGGGGCTGTATGTGT